TGAACCGTGCAAAAAAGTTGAGCTAAAAAGAAGAGATCTAAAATTCAAAACAAACTGCAGAACTTACCTTCACCGAAAGAAATGCTACCACTAAAGCGGCTACGTCTGACAACATATGAAAACTATCTGCTATTAAAGCCATTGAGTTGGTGACATAACCAACTACGATTTCGACTAAAAAAAATAAAGCTGTCAGCCATAACATTGTCAAAAGACGACATTTTTTTCCTGTATAACGACCCATGGTATCTGTGTAGATCTGAAAACATCAGAAAAATAAGTGTTTGCAGAATCATCATGTGCATTACCTCAAAATATTCTACGCAAGAAGCTTCTAATAATACACACTTATTTTTATAACTCTCTGAATCTATAGACGCAAGTATAAAGAACAACACGTAACAAATTGAATAATTTATTACAAACGCAAATGAATAAATGTTACTAGAAATTATCTTTCTTGTCACAAATATCATAATGTCAAATATCAAATTAACTGATAAAGACGAGAAAATAACGTCGGATACAGAAATTCGTTCTCTCAGTACTCAAAATATCGAAAACTGATGAAAAATTTATCACGATGCGAGAAATTTAATGAATTTTCTATTCACTTTTGCTTGCAAATGGTCTTTGTTTGTATTTATCACGCGAATTTCAGACGATTATTCGAGCGCGAGAAACGTCTCCGATATACACGGAAGGAATTCTCTTATCTGACGCTCTTACGATCGAGGACGAGGACGACGAGAGATCGCGCGCAGTGCACACGTGCGCTCCAAAAGTCATTATACACAGTAAAACAATTTTCTTATATCTATTTGCCATAAATCCGGTAATAGGGGGGAAAGGAAAAAAGGAAATGAATATGAGTCACAGCGGAACGGCAAGAAAAATACGTGATTCATCGCGCGGGGACGGAATAGACCCGTCTTTTTAGCTGAAACCGTTTGCAAATTCACCTTTTTTCCTTTCTTTCTCCAAAGTCGAGAGAAAAGAAGAAAAATTGAAACCGTGCAAGAAACAACAGGATTTAGCTAAAAACAACAGGGGGTCGATTGTACATCTTGAGACGAGATAAAAATTACAAAAGTGAGCAAATTTATTAGGTATTGATCAATTAAATTATGACTATTCTTCTAAATTTGTTCGCTTTTGTAATTTTCATCTCATTTTTAAGACGCAATTGACTTTCTATCTTAATCATGCGTTGCAAATCGAGGAACCTTTGATGTCACAGAAAAGACTACATTAAGTCTGTCCTTTTAACTGAACCTTTTCCACGGTACATCTTTTTTTTTTCTAAGAAAAAAGAAGGAAAGATGAAGTGCGTAAGAGGTTCATTTAAAAAGAAAAAGCCTAATCATGCGTTGCAAATCGAAGAATCTTTGAGGGTATCGATGGGATTATATTAAGTTTTTTTTTATCTAAAAACATCAGATGAACTCCACACTTCCAACGTGAAGAGAAAAGGAGGAAAGATGAACTGTGCGCAGAGAAGTTCAGCTAAAAAAAAAAACAGGTCTATTTTGCAGCGAAAGCTACCCGGTTTCTGGGTAAAAATTTTCGTAACCAAAAACGGGCTCTCGGGGATAATAGAAGAGCACTGACATTATCGTTTCAGTGATCCAATATGAATATCCGGACGTTCGGTCTGTAATGCGTAATTAATTAACAATCCTTCGAGCGTTTCGCAGATACATCTTGCAAAATGTAATCTATATGTGTACGGTATAAAGTATATAAGTTGTACGCGTACACACCCATACACATATTTTTACCAAACGAAAAGTGGTCGATATCAATGATCTCCGATTATCTCCAAAAGGTCGATCATGTAACTTTTTCTTTAGAGCGGAAAGCATGAAAAGTGAAAATTTCATATATATACATACGCCACACATACACACACATACCACGGAAAAAATGTTTACTTTGTACGTTTCCGCCCTTGGGAAAAAGTTCCATGCTCATTGACTCCCAGGACCCGTCAATCGACACTCCACAGGAATTTATTATCCATAGAATCGATGATGTCATCGTCAGCGTTCCGAGTCAGCGAGGAAGCCAAAAAAAAGTCGCAAGGGCGGTGAAAAAAAAAAAGAGAGAGAGAGAAGGTACCGCTTGCCGCACTTACCTTCGAGGGGAAAATTCGTCGCGCCCGTTCGCCGTCTTTGCCTTTCGCTGTTTGCCACCGATCGTTCGATTTATCAAGTGACCCTAATTGAACACGGCGCGTGAAGAACGTTCCTGGACATGTTCCGTCGAGCGATCACGCGTACGCACAAAGCGCATCGCTGGCAGGTACAGACAAGGCACACGACAAAGACTGGCAACGCACTGTAGCGCCCATGGCTAAACTGATTTTCTCTTTTCCACGCTACGATAAACAAGGCAGACGAAGACGCTGACCTGCGTTCGTAAAACTCCGTGAAGTCTGCGCTCCGCCGATCGACCAATCGCGCGGCGTCGTAGAGAGAATTGGATTTTTTGCGCATGCGCGGGGAACGCCACATCAGTGAAGCACCTAGCGTGAGTAAAAAGGGTATCATTGTGCGGCCGTATAAAATTATACATATAAAAATTTCTTCTTTAATTTATGAAAAATATATACTTATGCTCAGACATGTATACATAATTATACATACACGCGTCAATTAGGAAAAATTCAATAATTTACATTCAATAAAATACATAATTATACATACACGTGTCAATTATGAGAAATAATTGAGATATTCAATCATTTATATTTAAAAAAAAAAAGTGAGAGATAAATATATTGAAACGAAAAAAAAAATTAAAATTGAAATTGAAAAAATTCTAAATAAAATATATGACTCAAAGTAGACTCTTGCTTGTCCTACCTTTGTTCCAGTGCTGTTTTAATGCTGTTTTAACTACTAGGAACAAAACTATTATATTTTCATTCATAACTCTGTTCTTCTTGTTTACTTTAATTAATATACTATGTATTCTAATGTATACTTATTCTATTTTAATCCCGGTTTTATCCAGTATTAAGCTCGTGTTTTATCACTGTAACCTGACAGCAGATTGCCGGTAGAAATTGAGGAGAATCTACCATAATTAACTTAAATGGAGTAGTATTCTATAGATTTCATTTGGTGTTTGGTGGTAATCTGCCATCGTATCCGGTTAGCAAATTGTATTCTGTCGACAAAATTTCTAACAGATACTTCGCAAAAACTGTCTTTGATAGATGGCTATTTCGGCTTTCAACATTCCATTCTGCAAATATGAATTATTTCCAAATTTGTAAATTGTCCTATGTAAACCTGAAACAGTTTGTATACAAAGTTCTTAAAATTAATATATTTGTAATATTGCTCAGATTGTCAAGAACATTATGCCATGCGTTTCGAAAATAGATGTAAAATTCGTAGGAAGCAATATATATATATATATATAGCGAGAGTTGTATCTTTATTATTTCAAATATTTGTAGCACAGGCACAATACGTTCAACTTGTCGCTTCCGAATAAAATCGGAATCGATCATTATCAATCGGTCTAATCGTCAGACATATGTAATACCACATATTCATAACGACGCGAGGTGTTCAAGAATGTTCACTTTCGAACGCAAAATCTATGCGTGAAAACATAATGCCTTCCTCTTCTTCTTTTTATTTTTTTCCGATACGCAATTCCGTAGCGGTTTCGATAATATTTGCGATTTCTTTATATAAAAATTTTATAAATAAAATGTACAATTGAAGACCGGAAGAGATACAAAATCGGATGCTTAAACAACGTAAGTACATATTAAAGCTCTACAAAAACTTTTATTTTTAGAAAATTGAACGGAACGCGTTATGTATGGTAGGCGTTTAACTCGGCAGTGGTAAAATTTGTTTGTAGTCAATACGAAAGTTTTTAGGGACGTGTACATATAAATTATTTATATTTTCCTTGCAAAAGATTGCATCATGTTTGACGAAATTATTTATTATTCAGAAATGTTAATTAAAAATTAAAGAAAGTAAATTTTCAAAAAGTCTAATAAATGTACCCAAAATATGGAATTTATAAACTTCATTTCAAACAAAATATTAGCTATATCAGAATTAGACATAATGTAAAATATATATACGTGCGTGCACATAAAAGATATAAAAATATTATATACATAAAATATAAATATAACAAAGTTCATATTACAAAATCGATTTATATATATATAGTTTTCGCGTTACTGTTTGTCATTTTTAAAAATCAATCTAGTTCTGTATTTGTATATGAAATGTAACTATTTTTGGAGTATTATATATAATTTTAATATTTAATAAATAAAATAAATATAGTTAAATAGGACTAAAAATAAAAAATCCAGTTAAAAAGATCGATGTTTAAGTATACTTTTAAGATGTATATAATATGAATAAGAAAAAAATATTTTATATATAAAAAAGAGTTGTGACACTTCAATTTTCTTTTTCCTCTATTCTTTTTACATTTATTGAGATCGATGTAAACGGATTCGTGTTTACATGTAAATATATACATTAAACGTTTAATATTTCTTTCTAGAAACAAAATTCGGAGTTACCATCCATAGGATGGGATAAGTTTATTACAAATTTCACATTAGAGTAAAAAAGTATTAGCACCACTTCCTAAAAAAACAATTCACCGGAATATATATATCTCAGAATTCCGTGAACATAAAAAAATTATACTTATTACAATATCGACCTACTTAATTCATTCTATAAATGCTTGCTTTTCACTAAAATGGCAGAATAAGAAACAAAGAATCATAATATAAACCTCTAAAACTTAATTTTACATTACGTATATTTAACTTCGATAAAAGATGATATTTCGAATGATAACAGTAGTAATGCCAAGATAATAAAGGAATATATTGGGACTGCAATCTGTTTACAATAAAGAAAACGTTTCTGATGGAAGAAATTAGATAAAAAAATAAAAATTTTATTTAAATATCATGGAAGAAATTTTTTTGCACATAATCTGTATCATGTAAGTTGCAAAAATAAAATGCAACATTTCCAAACTTCAATACGCATTTCCGTTGCAGGATTTATTACGACTTACTGATATCTTTTTCATAAATGTAAAAATAAATCTTTATAAGTGTACTTTGTAATAGATGAATAAGTATAACTTTTTTTTAACAGTATTTGGCGTTTCAGTTCAGAGTAGTTTAAATGTGCACTCCCGTAAAGTGAGATGCGATTTCTTTTTCTTTTTTGCAAGCTTTTTTTTTGCCTAGCCCTGTGGTACCACTGCCGGGTTAAGGATGAACAGGGTCCAGATTACCATACATTTGAATTTCTTACAAAGTCACATTTATTATCTCGATTTAGCTATCTCAGCATCATCGATAATACGAATCTGGTAATTCTATATACAATCTACCGAAATAAACGCAATAATCGGTAGTAATAATAATAGCGTCTTTCAAATCTTTTCGAAACTCCCTCTCCCTTCTTTTACTTTCACCTCGTTGATATATTTTTCTTTTTTTAATAAGTGTGCTGAAAAATCGGTATAAATGTAACCTACGAAAAGGAGTAATATTTACCGCAAAAATCGTCAATTATAGCTTAGACAAAATTTGGAAGAACTGTAACGCCGTTTTTTTTTTCTTTACATTTTCCTATTTCTACTATTGCCAACGCTATTTTATATCCGGTAATTTTTTTAAAAAATCGAACGGATACTCGTTAAATATAACTATATCACGAGTATGAGATCGATTGTACATGTCACAGTTTACAGCTCGAGCACCATATTTGGCTAATGTCAATAATAATTAAAAGTAAATTGAACCAATAAAATTTCGACAAGTCTAAAATCACTACTTCATTTCTCTTTCTTTCTCATTCACTCTATCTTTTTGTCTCAATTTGCTATCATTTACGCTACGTTGCGACATTGTCGATAAACTTCGATTGTGATATTAAATACGATCTAATGCTAATCACTTACGTCTAAATCACTACAATCGGGTATTATTAACGATGAGCGTTCAATTAGTTTCTCTCACTGCATCTCGCGATGTTGGCTACTATGGCACTTGACCAATACTGATGCGCTGTTTTTGTTTTAACCCCCCTAAACTTCTATACCTTACATACTATCATCACGGCTAACAATAAATTTAATTCGAACAACGGTTCCCTATCTTATCTATCAATATACTCAACTGTCCTAGTGACCAACATCGTATTCGAAACAGCAGTAAAATTCGTTTATATAAAGTGCTACAGGTCTTCCATAATTTTTCTAAGGTAAGTAGTAATTACTTCGTAAATAGTTTTGCTAACCAGCGACCGTCCGCCCTACTTGGCTTGGGCTGGGATCGGGGAGACGCAGGGCGGCGGTATGGTATCTTTCTTTTTGATTGGTATTGATCTAAATCTAGTATTTGGACGAAGTGCGAGGATGGGTCGTGCGTGCTTTTGCTTCCTAAATCGAGCGTGCGCAAGTTCTTATAATCTTTTTTTTTTTACTTGTAGCCATAAGCTTTACTTTCTTGTTTCCTTGACCAGAATTACGATTTATCTTCGTTAATAATTAATTTACTCGATACGTATATTTTCAGAAAAGAAGGAGAAAAGAATATTATTATTGCATGTGTGTGAAAAGAATAAAGTGGCGGAAATCATGGAGCAGCCCTGAGAGAGAGCGAACAACGCATCTGGGAGTAGTGCATGTGCGCCTGTGTATCTGTTATGTCTGTATATGTATCTGTTGTGTGTGCTGTGTGTGTATATGTGTGTGTATTCACACACACATATGAATCTCATGAGAATGAATATTTCACTCAACGTGTAAATTGCGAATTTACTTATAATTTACTCATTTAACGTTTGCTTTAACCTCAAGTCTTAAGAGTCGTGTGACGCGAATCCGCGCACCCGTGCCTCGAGTTTGTATACAAGTGACAACCTTCTACGCTGAATATCGACACTTCTGCAACAGAATCAATAGATTTCGTCACATGAGACGTATACATTTCACGACAACGTTGGTTGTGCGAAATTTTACAAAACCCTTACCATCAGGTAATTCATATAATTTCCTAGGAAGAGAGGCGAAATAGGGATGACGTAACGCTTCCTCCGCACCTATCCGTTGATCGGGATTCAGCTGCAGGAGCGACGACGCCATACTATCGCCCTCGGCGATATCATAAAGCCGAGGAAACGAGAGTCCCAGTTTCCGCGGCGGATAAAATATCAGTCTATGTGCTTTATACCCGGGCAGATGCGTGACACCTGGCCAAGTCTCCTCGGTAGGTGTGCCCAGCACTTTAAATATCTTATCGAGTTGGTCGTACGTACAGCGTACACCTGGGAATGTCGGTTCACCAGTTAACATTTCCACAAATATGCAACCCACTCCCCACATGTCAAGCGAGGTGGAGTACTCTGTGGAACCTAAAAGAACGTCGGGCGGTCTATACCACAAGGTCACGACTTCATGTGAGTATGTATGCGATGGCACGGATTTGGCCCTTGCTAGCCCAAAGTCTGCCAATTTAAGTTCTCCTATCTCGCTGATTAATAAATTCTGTGGCTTTACATCTCTGTGCAGAACTCTCCTAAAGTATGCAGTAACACAAATTAATCGACGCGTATCAAGATGAAGACATCGACATTACGTACTATAAACTTTACCTGCGATGACAGTATGCCAGTCCTCTCAATAATTGAAAAAGAAACAATTTAACATTACGTGGATCCAATCCTCCGTTCCCGAAATACCTCTCCATATATTGGGATAGATCGGTGTGAACGTATTCAAACACAAAGGTGAGCGTCTCGCGGGTATGAATGATATCGTGTAAAGTCACGATATTGCTATGTTTTAACTCTTTGAGGAGACTTGCCTCGCGAATGGCAGTAAACGGAGCTCCTTCCTCCTCTTGCAGTCTAATTTCTTTAAGAGCCACCACTTGATTAGTGAGATGGCTATAGCCTTTGAACACTGTGGCATATGATCCCTCTCCCAACTGCTCCAGTTTTATATAAGCTTCGGATTTACCGAATGGCGAATCTCCCTGTCGAGACAAATTGAGATTAATGTTTAGTATCTTGATAGACAATTAATGCAAATGAGTACATATATGTAATATAATACATTACCCCAAAAGCGGAAAATCTTTTAGTTCTTCTAGGTTCTGGGCCAAGGAAAACTTCAGATTTGGGCCGCGGTGGACGTCGGGGCCGCAGAATTACCCTAGCTTCCTCTCGTATATCTTCATCGAGAAGCTTCGAATCGCTAGAAACCGAAAGCTGTCGATGCACTCTCTCATGGTCGCCCACACCTGTCCATTCTATGACAGTCCAATTTCCGAAAACATTCTTAAAATAACAGCAATCGAAATACATAAAATCACAGATTTTTATAAAATTTTGGATATGTAAATAACTGTACTTTGCTTAAATTACATATATACGTATTTTGATGTTATTTATGCATTTAAACAATCGCGGGACAGCTACTCTTACGTATGCATAATTTCAACTATGTATAATATGCAGAAAAACAACAACGTGATATTTGATCATTAACAAATGTGTTTTAATATTCATTTTTTTAGTGTTTTTAGTAACAAAATATGTAAAAGAGGGCATTCTTATAAATACAAATTAATTAATAAATAACTTTATAAAATATGTACACATAAATTAGATTTTTACTTTATAATATAATAAAGAGCACGAGTTTAAGTTCTTTGTTTTCATCTCTTACTTCAAAAAGTATATAAACATCTAAACCTACATCATGATATACTACATCTATAAAATATTATGAAACCATGTATATATGTTTTTTTGGATAAAGCTCACCATAACGACGATCTTTGTCCGCAGGTATATTGCCATTTGGCTCCAAGCGGTCTAGGAACTCCTCCGAATAACCATTATATGGCAATTGACCTCTCGTTGTTGCATCATCAGCCTCTTCTTTTGATATAGCTGTAATAAAATAAATAATATTTAAATGTATGTTTATAATCATCATTAATTATGTCTAATAAACGATTCATGATTTAATTGTATAAAACTATTTTACTCGATCTTTGTAATATTATAATATTTGCAATATACATATCAATAATAATTATATCACTAAAACATCATGCTGTTTAATTACAATAGGCAAAAGCAATTATTTGCCCGACATTAATTATATACTTGTTAATATTGAAAAAACATTAAAACAAAGTTCAATATTTAAATCCTTGTGATTACTATTATATTTTATTAATGTAAAAATAATTACCTATACAAAAAATACTTACAAAGCCGTCCAAAGCTGTGACTAAGGCGCTTTTTTAATTTTTGCACTCTACTGAGAGCACCGCCTTTCTTTTCCCGCATTGTCACAGGCCCTGCATGTAACAAACGTAATGTTTAAACACACAATTTAATACACCGAATGTAAGTTGAGATAGCATGACATCATAACAGAAGGCCAAGAACATCGGAGTAATTTAGATATAACAGATCATTACATTTATGATGACATCATACGCTGTGTTATGCCAGTGCTCCTTCATGATGATAGAGGTATATATGCATCACATTCTTCTCAAATGACAATGCGAGGAACTTTATATCACAGGAAATTACAATACGATAAAAAACAACCATACATGATACAAAATATGAATATGATTACATCATACAAATATTAATAATTTTTTTTTGTAGATATTACACACCGTTATACTACAGATAAAGCAAGAATAATGACACTCAATGAACGAAGTAATTTTGAACACAGTTTTATTCCGAATCCAAAGTAATTTAATTCAACTTCTCAGAACGTAGATGACTCATCCGTTCGTAGAAGATAATGGATTTTTACTGCAATTAAAAGTGAAAGTATGTATCCTTAAGTATACACTTTCCAAGTATGTGTATCAATTCGTCCGAACCAGCCAACTATAATTTTTTCTTGGAGCAAGCCACATAACAAAGCAAACTCTCACGGGACACTTATTAACACGATAAAAACTTCGAGATTGCCGTATGTATACGGCACATGACACGCCATTCAGTCACACGTACATACACGCACACGAGTATCGACACACACGTTCTTTTCTGCATACAGGTATGCACTATAGTTACGGCATAGGGGGTTCAACGAACTAATATACATTAGTTTCACACGTCGAATAACCGAACAAATCTCTGGTCGAGATGTTCAAGTGTCAGATAAAACGTAGGCTCTCTCCCTCTCTCTTCGTGTTACACAAAAGATTGCATTGTACTCATCGTGCGACTCGAAAAGATACGGCGATCCCAATCCTGAAATTGATAAGCACGCGCGTTTCTTCCTGTGGCCAACGCTAATATCAAGCCGGCGAAGGAAAATAATGTTCAACTTCTCTCTCGCTTGAGTTGCATATATACTGAAGAACTCGGTTGTCTCTCTTCTGCCTGAGTGCCTGCCATCAGGAGATACCGTACATACACACATACAAGGGACGCGCGCGCGAGGAGAGAGAAAGAGAGAGAATTATTATTTTCATTTTCTTTCTCTCTCCCTCTCCTCTTCCTCTTTTTCTATCTCTCCGCTCCTCTCCGTCAGACTGCTGTTGCTACTTGGTCCTTCTCTCCCGTCTCCATGATCCTGGAACGGAACTCTCTTTACCTCTCTCTCATTCGTCGTCTCCTCTCTCGTTCTTTCACGTATGCACACACGCACACACACGCACACACATCCACGTACACTCCCTCTCTATCTATCTTTCTCACCTCGTTCACACGCGCGCACGCAAAGACCAACCGATGAGAAACCGAAACAGCGAGAGCCAGCGAGAGCCGAAACGTCGGCTGCGAGTGAGAAATAGGGGAAGGATGCCCGACTTACCCTCTTTGCTCTTGGAGGCGGTCGAACCCTTGTCCTGACAGTACATGATTACTCATTCGCTCGCACGCGCGGGACACATCACATATGGGCGGTGACGCACTCGGCTGCGTGTGTGGGTACGCGCCGCCGCCGCCGCTGTCGCCGCTGTGTTTTTCCCTCGGCCGATGCTCCTCAGCTCCTGTGCGGCGACGAGAGCCCCGGGCGCCGTGCGGGCTCCCTAGAGCGCGACCCTCTCACGTCGTCCTCCTGTATTCCGGTGATTCCGGTGATTCCGGCGAAGCGCGCACGATCCCCGTCGCGTCGCCTCGCGCCATGAAAACGCCTCCGCGCTGTCCCCGCGGACGATGACAACGACGACGGCGAGGACGGCGAGGACGGCGATGGGAGCCTTCCGCACGGTGGTGCGCCGATGGTGCGCCACCGCGAGAGAATATATTACTATCACAAAATTTACCAGCGAGGATCCTCGCCAGTCGGCCACCTCCAAGAGATTACCTCTCCGCCGCTCCGCTCCACGAGAGGGGCAAGTTCACGTCGGTGCACACTACACACTCATATACGGAGACACGTATCTATCTCTTTCTTTTCGAGAATCTCTATTTTTTCTCTTCTTCTCTTACACGGGATCGCAAATGATTCGGTCAACCCTCCCGTTTGCGCTTAACCCTCGCTGACGGTGGGTGCTCGCGCACACCACACCACTACCTCCAGCAAATCATCTGCGATCGGGATGACGGGATTCGGGGTCTGCCGACCGGTTGGGATTGTCGGGATTGTCGGGTAGCCTATCTCGCTTGTCGCGGATACTGACTGCCCACACCACCGTCACCACCTCGCACCGCACGACACGAAAGTCGCGAGCCACAGCCGAATTCGGCCGAGACGGCAGACGCTGGCAGACGCGCGTCAGCGTCCACCACAACCTAGAACGACGACCGCCGTTGTATTCAGTGTTTTATGAAGTTCGAAGGAGCGGGAACGCGTGCGTACTCACCGTACTTTAGTACTTATCGCAGACGAGAAAAGTAACTAGACTGAACGAACCGCGAACGTTCGCATTGCGGCTTGCGACTGTTGGACAAAAAGAACGCCGTCTCTCTCTCTCTCTCTCTCTTATTTTTTTAAAATTGTTTTTCTTTTTTTATGTCATTTAACAATCATTGACTTGTTATCAAACTATCGCTTAAATCATGAATATTTAAATAGGCGTATATATATTATGCACAGCTTACAGATGGTTTCAAACTTTTGTCAAACTTTCCCATTTAGCCAAGTCCGCTCGAACAAATTTTGTTATTTTATTGATCTGTTATATCAGATGCTAACAACGAAATGACGCGAAAAATATAATAGGATCCCACATAAAAATATACTACTAGTGTCACAAGTGCAATAAGTAAATTCGATACATAATTTCAATAAAATTTCAAAAAAATTTCAGTGAAATTTTAATGAAATTTTCTCCATCAACTATTACATTATTAGTGACACTACTTGTCGAATTTACTTATACACTAGTAGTATATTTTTATGCGGGATTTATATTTACGTGACTTGACAGCAGAAAAGCACAAGTAATATAATCGTTTTGTTTTTGTTACTCATAAAAAAGATCGATAGAACAACGTTTGTGATGTCTTGTGTCATTATTGTTATTTAACGGGAAATACTCTTTCTGTCAGTACTGAAATCTGCATAAGTTTTATACTATTATAGATTTTCAATATTGGCAATTTAATGTACACTAGAACACGTATACTTTTATACGTATAATTTGTCTTTTCTTTTTCTCTCTCTGCAATATCTGTAATTGGTATCTAGCATATATTCTACAATATTTATTTATTTAAAAAAAAAACGATTCCATGTAAAAACCAAATCTATTTATAGACTCCATAATAGCTCAAATACTCCGGCCAATTTGAAGTTAGATCGGCATTGATAGTAAGCAAATCTTATACACATAGTTTTAAGATAGAAGCCAATTACAGAGTCATATTAGTATATTTTAATAGGCCTTCTACAATAAGCCGTAAGTCAGAAGTTCTAAGCGATCTTAAGTCATAATCGGTGAAGTTGGCCAATAGCCAACTTGAACGACTTGGTTAAGACTGGTTAAGACTTCTGACGTTCTGACTTGTGGCTTATTGTAGAAGGCATTACTTAAGACAGTTTTAAGATAAGAACAGACTATGAATGCCGATCCTAATCTTTTCTTAACAAAAACCTTTCCAAGTTCTACATAAATTTAAATGATTCGAGCTTTAAAATCTCTGCTCTCTCTCTCCCTCTCTTTAAAATGTCACACATCACACATGTCACGTATGCAGCCGTATGAACACTATGAACAGACCTTTATTATCGATACTCGACGTCTCGACGTCTCGACGTCGACTTTTCGGTATCGGAGTAATCGAGCCGCAACGGAGTGGAGTATCGATAAGCGATCGATAAGCCGTCGTCCAACAGCTTCGGCAAGCTCGAACTGGCTCGAACTTCGAAGCTTCGGGGCATCATGCCATGTTCTCGCGCGTCGTCGCACGTGTAAGTGTGCGCTGTCGCCTTGTGAGTCAGCAAAAAGAGAAGGGAGTTGGCGATAATCTGTTGTCGCGGCTGTTACGAGCGAGTACCGTCGGCGTCGGAAACGGTGGGAGCCAGGGCGCGCGTTACTGCGGGAAAACGTGTCAGGTTGCCGTCAGCGAGCCGTGCGGAGCGATGTCGGGCGACGAGAAGCCGTTTCGCCGTCTGCCGTTGTGCGTGCGTCCCTATCATTACGATATCTTCTTGACGCCGCATATCACCACCTTCGACGGCACGGAGAAAGTGCATCTCAATGTGAGTCTCTGTCACCCACCGCCATTCCTCTCTCGCTGCCACTCTCCCCGTCCCTCCCTTCAGTGAAAAGTAGAGTCGATGGAGAACAAAGCGGCCGCTGACCATATGGGAAACATAACCAAGAAATGCCCCGCCCCCGCTGATCCCTTCCCCGTTGCCGGTTTCTGTTTAAATAGCATTTAGATTCGAATCTGATTGGCAAACATCAAGACGAACCGCCTTATCTTCTAATTGTCGGCAGTCGCGATTTTAATCCCTTGATTTGCTCGTTAATTTCTCATGACGTCAATTCTAATTGCACTTGCGAATGTTATCTATTATTTTTCCTCTCGTTAATTATATTTCATGCTTATCTTTGCGACATACATAACGATTGCGAAAATTCTCTCTTATCCGTTTTTTTTTTCGGATTACAGGTGGAAACTCCTACAGATACCATTGTATTGAATTGTTTGGAAATCAATATAAAACGCGCGAGTTTTTATGGAAATGATGGCAAGACCATTGTACCCGATAAAATTGTACTATCAGGATTGGAGGAAACAGCTACGTTGGTTTTTCCTGAAGCTCTGCCATCTGGTAAAAGCGGATACCTGAATATAGAATTCGTGGGAGAGATCAATAACAAGATGAAAGGCTTTTATAGAAGCAAATATAGTGGGTAAGAATACAACTGACAATTTTGAATATATAAAAAAATTACCAAACTAATCTCTGTCCAACTGTCTAATTAGAAAAAGAACCTTTTTAACAATATGTTTCAATGACTGTTTGTTAATTTTAGCTCCTGAAAATTATTACCTGAATATATCATATGGATAAATGAAGACAGAGTATTTAAACTATGTATTTATATGTATCCTTTAAAGGCAAGATAGTAGCTGTGCTGTAACCTATTTGTGTCCTACATCAGCACGGATGTTTTTTCCATGTTGGGACGAACCATCTTTTAAAACAACCTTTGATATACATCTCACAATTCCATCTCAGCCATGTCTCATTGGGTTATCGAACATGGTGAGCATCCTTGATATAACATAGAATTTTTTATGATTTCAGAGAGGACGGTACTGTTGAATACGCGGCGGTTACCCAGTTTGAGCCGACAGATGCTAGACGTTGCTTCCCATGTTGGGACGAGCCAGCGCTGAAAGCAACATTTGACATTACGCTAAAAGTACCAATCGGTCTTACAGCACTTTCCAATATGGTAAGCAACGCCGGGCATCTGCAATATTATTTGTTTCTTTTTTTTTGCTTCCTATCTTCTAATTTATATTTAAGATAGATGTACGTACTTTTCTTCTTATGCTTTTTTTGTATTTGATATTTGTATACATTATGTGATACTTAAAATTAATGTTTTATATGTTGACTGTTAATCTGTTAACTATGTCTTATTGTATATACCATTCATAGTCGGTTCTTATATTTAAAATCATCTTTTAAGTGATCAGATTAGAGATTGATATTGAAATTGGATTTGAATTTAACTAAACAGAAGAAAGAACTAATCTCAAATTTGGTAAACTTTGCTCTGCTCATGGCTTTAAGACATCGGTATTATCTTAAGATGTCATAAGTTATTTACAAGGCTAATGTCAAAGCCAATGACAAAGCCAATATGAAAACTATTTTAAGGCTATGACATAAAAAAACATAAACAATAAGATATAAGTAATAAACGAATTAGCATTTTGAATTTGTTATTACCTATGTTATTGCCTTACATTCGCCGATTCTCTTATTGCTAATGTTTTTCTGTATGCCTTTCATTTTAACATCTTAAGACATTACTTAAGTTTTGTGATGATAAAAATGGACTTATGAATACCGATCTTATCATCAACATATATATGTGAGTACATCTTGTCTGTTTTAATTTTCAGCCTGTAAAAAGCAAAGTTACAAATGGAAACTGCGAGACATTGACTTTTGAAAGAACGCCTATTATGTCAACATACTTAGTAGCTGTAGTAGTAGGCGATTTCGATTACATAGAGGACATGTCTAGTGATGGTGTGTTAGTTCGAGTTTATGTGCCCAAATCTAAGAAAGAACAAGGCAAGTTTGCCCTAGAAGTGGCCACCAAGGTGTTGCCTTACTACAAGACTTACTTTGGTATCGCGTATCCCTTGCCGAAGATCGATCTCATAGCAATTGCCGATTTTTCGTCTGGCGCTATGGAAAATTGGGGACTCGTTACGTACCGCGAGACCTGTTTACTCGTGGATCCGCAGAACACGTCGGCTGTCCGGAAACAGTGGATCGCGTTGATAGTAGCACACGAGTTGGCACATCAATGGTTCGGTAATCTCGTGACAATGGAATGGTGGACGCATCTATGGTTGAATGAAGGTTACGCATCATTCGTAGAGTTCTTGTGTGTTGCACATTTGTTCCCAGAGTATGATATCTGGACGCAGTTTGTAACAGACACATATATACGAGCGTTGGAATTAGATGCTTTGAAGAACAGTCATCCAATCGAGGTACCGGTGGGTCACCCGTCGGAGATCGACGAGATCTTTGACGACATATCGTATCACAAGGGCGCCTCTGTTATTCGTATGTTGCATGCATACATAGGTGATGATGATTTTAGGAAGGGTATGAATCTATATCTGAAGAGACATAGCTACGCCAATGCGGAGACCGAGGATCTCTGGGCCGCATTGGAAGAGGCCAGTAATAAAGCTGTACGTAAGGTGATGTCGTCATGGACCAAGAGACAGGGTTTCCCCGTTGTCAAAGTTGACTATCGTCAAGAAGGCAACGATAGGATCTTATCATTGTCTCAAGAGAGATTCCTGGCCGATGGATCAGTGGATAACAACGCAGATAATGCATGGCTCATACCAATAAGCGTAAGCTCTTCACAAGATCCGAACAAAACAATATTCGACGGCATATTAGATGCAAAAACCAAGGAATTTGTAATCCAAAACGTTCCCGAGGGCACATGGCTGAAGATCAATCCTGGAACAATTGGCTTCTATCGGACTCGTTACAGTCAGCCCGCTCTGTCACTTCTATTACCAGCAATTAAAGATCATACATTACCTCCTCTGGACAGATTAGGCTTACTGGATGATCATTTTGC